TTTCTCTTGTTAATATTATTATCAACATTATTATTGCTCATGCGATTAATATCGATTTTATTGATAAATTTGTTGTCGATATGCTGTAAAAATTATTTTTTATAAATAGTCTGAAACTTTGAAAAAAAACTTTTTTTCGTTATTTTTTAGGTACCTTGATACTACTATGATTAATATTACTAATAGTGTTGGCCACATTATAATTATTATTGGCATTAATAATATCAGTGTTTAAGTTTTGGTGTCCTTGAACATGATATGATTGGTATGATTGGTATGTAGCAGAAGATTCTTTCGATGCTTCTTTTAAACGTTTTAAAAAAGATGAATTTTTTCTTGTAATTTTTGGTGGTTCATCGTCATCAACAACAATAATATCGGTATTAATTCCAATCATGCCTTTAGTATCATTATTGTTGTTGTTGCTGTTTTTTTCATAGATTCTTATATCTGATAATTTAATGATTTAATGATTTAATAATTTAATAATTTAATAAAAAACGGGAATTTATTATTACCATTACCATTATTAGAAACGACATTCATACTGCTATTATCTATGAAATTTGATGCTATCAAATCAACAGCTTGTTTTTGTTTAGAAGCTGATAAATTTAAAGGTTTGGCTCGCTGTTTCCATGGAGGTGGAAAAGTACATCTACGATTATTATTATCTTCAATCAATTGATTATTATCATATGGTGACGGATAATAGATTGCCTTTTGTTGTTTAATTGGTGTTCGTGGTAGATTTAGACTATTGATTTCAATTTTTTGATTAACGTTACCGCTATTATTATTACCATCAATATTAGTAGTATTAATCGATGGTTGACCAATTGTATTAGTTCTGTTATCGAATCTTCTTTCAATCTTTTCGACTAAACTTTTTCCATAATTTGATTCACTTGTGGCATCATTTATGTTTTCAGGCTAATGCGAATATATATATATTTATCTATTTAAATATAATCGTAATAATAATTTTCAAGAAAGTAAAACTCTCTTACTATTCTATGATTTAAAAAAATGATTGATAATATATATTTTAAATCTAA